ACGGCATGTTCTTTTTTAATATATATTCTATTTTATCTTTTTTTGCATTATTTTAATCCAGAAATACATGGTTATTCTCTTTTCAAATTATTCTTTACGATTAAACTTGTTTGTATTTATTACATCGTTGATATTATTATTATTATCTTTACTTTTTCTTTGATCATTTATTACCAAGAACAAAATTAAAATAACAAAATTACTTCTAATAGTACTTTGGTACTGATTGATCAGTTTCCTTCTTAATTATGTTAACAGTTTTTTCACCGAAAACTTCACATTCGTCGTCAATATCTGGTACTTGGTGAAGTTGATCATTTGTTTCGGGAAATTTGTAATTTGGAACTTCACTTGCCCTGTATTGATCTATATGGCGGATAACTTGAACATAATGTGAGGATAATGGTGAATTTGGTAGAAACTACAAGTAAATATCAATAAAAATTAAGATTATATTATTTAAAAGTTTTTTTGTTCATTTTTGCTTACTTCTGCATTTAGATTTGCACGAAAAGTAAGGAGACGCACTGCTCTTGACATTTTGTATTGCCGATTTTGATATGCACGAAAACTGAGAAATACCACTGAGATTATATTCTTTGGCATGATATGATATTTATACTTGCATACATGCTCTCATGAGAGAAAATCTCATTACATACTTTTTCTTTTAAGCAAGTCGAATTCTGACACGTATTACGGACATTTCAATTGCTAAAGTATACTTTGAAACAATTGTACAACGAAAGTTACAAATACTTTCATTAGTGGATTTACTGACAACTGAGCAATTAGTGTCACATGGAAGCATTTTGGACATGATGGTCTAGAGGATGGAATGATCAGCATCGAATTCTCTATCTTACAGGAAATTTTCACAGTTGTAGCATTAACAATACAAGAGATAGAGCATATGTGACAAATATTATGATTAGTTAATTGTGTCACTATGCAGCAAGATCAGAGAACTATACCCGTGTCAATGTGATATGTGAACAGTTCTCTATCGTTTGACATGCTGATCATCATGATAGTATGTTCAGTTACTGAGATCTACAGCTTTGGTGACAATTTAGTAATTAGCGTCTAGCACCTCAGGGAAGCATTTGCGAGTTGTACACCTAGAGGATGAAATGATCAGCGTGAAATTCTCTACCGAGGACGAAATTTTCAGGTTCGAAATATCAACAGGAAAAGAGATCGACCATTGGTGACAAAAAAGTTCATTTAGTAATTATGTCACCAAAAAATAAGATCGGCTCAATGTTTAAGCACTGTTTCAATATGTATCAACCACCATACTACTAGTAATGATTTTTTTGTTTTTATCTTTTTTACTTATGAAAAATTTCATGATTTGATTGTAATTAAGTAATTACTCAATAATTGCTCAAGACAACACTTGCAAAACATTAGCATCAACTCAAATGTGTGATTCAATGGTACTAAAGAAAGAAATATGTATAGTGAAGAACGAAACAAATTTATTGCAGAATTATAAGAAACACAAAAGAAAAACACAATTAGAATATTTGTATTCTACGATAAAGAAAAAGTACAACCTCGTGTACAAGTAGAACAGAAAGAAAGAAAAAGGCGAAAGAAAAAAACTAGAACCAAGTCAATTGCAATTATTTGTGATAATGATGTTGAACGCATCATTATCACTTTTGGTCGATGCGACATCGACCGTCAGACCAGCACGGTCATCATTGATGACGACGATTGTCACCCGTTGTATGTTATGCTCATTGTTTCGAACAGTTGTTGTTGCTGGTGATAGTGGTGGTGGAGGGCCAAGTGCTCCTCGTTTACTAATATGTAAACGAATACTGCTGGTTTGACCATCAGCAGTCTTGATGTGTTCNTACCCATATGACAACAAATACCACCCAAACCTCATTGACTTTTACCCAAATCTACACTTAACCAGGCAACACCCTCCGTGGCACCCTCACATTGTGATATACCCCCTCCATTCTGCACCCTCAATTGAGATAGACGCCTTCCAAATGTTTCTACAACTGAATATCTACTCAAATTCGACAATTTTTGCAATATCGATTATCTGGGTCACAAGACTTCTTTTTTTTTCAATGTACCCAAGTTGACCTTTGCTATTTTGATAGATAGAGAAGTCCGGTTTGTTGATTCTGGTAGATTGCTGCTGTGGAAGTGGGCAAATTTCGAATGGGGTTTATGTTGCATGTAGTTTTCATGCCTGGGATCATTTCCTGGTAAGATTTTACGATGTACCTAGTGACCTGTGTATGCTGGTTATGATTATTGCCGGTTGTGTGTCTTGTAGTGCAGGTGGATGTGGGTAATATTGCTATGAGCGGTGAATGATAGACTGATGTGGTTGTCGAGCGAGACAGTTGGTTGCATGGTTTTTGGTACATGGTTTTCTAAAGATCTGGTTAGGTGTGTGCTGTGTTTATGAGATTTTCGTGTAGATATAAGCTATTGATCTGAGTTGTAGGAAGGTACAGTTTTCATCGTGGAGCTATAAGGTTGGGATAATGTTGTGTGTATGCGCCGTCTGAGTTGAACGCTTCGTTGGATTAGTTTTACTGGGGTTGCTGTTGTATATACATAATAACTGAATAGAGTTGTGCGATAAGGAATTTAGTTTTAGGACGCTTTTGCTGATACAGGAAACAGTGTTTCTTCTGTAACTGTGAAGGAATGCTAGTGATCGCTAAATTACATTTCGACTGATAGATAGATAGATGCACACTTTTCTGTTTATTGTAATGGGCGATAATATGGCTGTTCCGCACTGTTGGAGGTAGTGTGCGAAGCTTGTATTGACGTGCCCGATAGATATTGAATTCGATTTAATTATTCCGGTTCAGTGCAATCAATGTTTAGTTCGATAGAGTTTTTTGCACAGAAGCTCTGCTGTGGTAACTAAGAATAATCTGAGGTGAAATGTGTAGAATATTAGGCGCCGTTTTGAAGCGAATAGTGTTATTGCCGTTGAGTTATGTCGTTGCAAGAAATTATCTGGGTAAAGGTTACAGTGTATCCTTAGTTTTAGTATGTTGCTATCGTTTGACATGTTGATCATCGTGATAGTATGTTCAATTACTGAGATCTACAGTTTTGGTGACAATTTAGTAATTAGCGTCTAGCGCCTCAGGGAAGCATTTGCGAGTTGTACACCTAGAGGATGAAATGATCAGCGTAAAATTCTCTATCGATGACGAAATTTTCAGGTTCGAAATATCAACAGGAAAAGAGATCGACCATTGGTGACAAAAAAGTTCATTTAGTAATTATGTCACCAAAAAATAAGATCGGCTCAATATTTAAGCCCTGTTTCAATATGTATCAACCACTATACTACTAGTAATGATTCTTATGTTTTTATCTTGTTTACTTATGAAAATTTCATGATTTGATTGTAATTAAGTAATTAGTCAATAATTGTTCAAGACAACACTTGCAAAACATTAGCATCAACTCAAATGTGTGATTCAATGGTACTAAAGAAAGAAATATGTATAGTGAAGAACGAAACAAATTTATTGCAGAATTATAAGAAATACAAAAAAAAAGAAAATTAGAATATTTCTATTCTACGATAAAGAAAAAGTACAACCTCGTGTACAAGCAGAACAGAAAGAGAGAAAGAAAAAGGCGAAAGAAAAAAACAAACAAAAGAACCAAGTCAATTACAATTATTTGTGATAATGATGTTAAACGCATCATTATCACTTTTGGTCGATGCGACATCGACCGTCAGACCAGCACGGTCATCGTTGATGACGACGGTTGTCACCCGTTGTATATTGTGCTCATTATTTTGAGCAGTTGTTGTTGTTCGTGGTGGTGGTGGTGGAGGGCCAAGTGCTCCTCGTTTACTAATATGTAAACGAATACTGCTGGTTTGACCATCAGCACTCTTGATGTGTTCATAAAGAACACTTACGTTGTCTTGATCGACAGAAATCTTCTTATAAGGAACATCATTCGATGCTCCTCTTTCAGTAGCAGCATTATTGTTGCTAGTTGTTGAACTAGCTGATGATGCAGCACGGTGGCGAGGACGTCTGTTTACTTTCGGCATTATCTTCGAGAACAATGATGAGAACGAACTAACAAAACGACTCTTTCTTTTTCTTTTCTTTCTTTCTCAACATTCTTTACCAGATTATTTCTGATACGAATAATACACTTCTTTTCTTCCTATAAAAACTATACAATGTACGATTCAACTAGTACGTGACCAAAGTTTATCGCCTTCATAAGTTTAAACATGTGTATATGTTTGATAATACTTATAAAATAACTGTTATTCTTCATTGCTAGTCATTCTTGAGACAATTCCATTATTTTCATCAAGTTCATATTTTGTACAGATTAAACTAACTTGATAACTAAAATTAAAATAAAATTATATTGAAATGCAAGCTATCTGACGAAAATGTGAAAGTTAGTGCAAACGCATGATGGTGGCTAGTATTGAAGTTGCTCTTGTCTCTGAATACTTGAATTGAAATGAAATAGAGATGTATTATCAGTCTCTTTTCGAAAAGATTATCACTGTGAAGTGTTACATGTTCTCTGATGAAAAATAATCGTATTTCTAGGGCTCACATTCTTTTCCTTAAGAAAGAGTGGTTTTATCTAATTTTGTACTGCAAGGACATACCTAGAACTACATTCTCATAACATTCTCTCACATAAACCATAAGAAAAACGCAATCGATAAAAATTCATTCATAGTTTAAGATCAAAGTCCATCTTCTCTACAGGACTATATAAAGCGACGGCATTTGCATTGATACATTCATTTTGTTCCATTATTCTATAAGGTAAGTGCCACGCATCTTCTTGCTCGAACTTATATTATGAATCGTCTTATTTTTCAGATTGCATAAAATGGCTTCAGCATCTCATTCGTCATTATCAGCAGCAGAAATCGTTAATAGTCGTATTCCATTAGGTGCAACAAAAGAACAATATCAAAAATGGATATTACAGAAACATCATTGTCTTCCAAATGATACTACTTTTCATCGTTTAGTTCAATCTGGCTTAGTCGATGAAATGGTTGCAGTTCTTGGAGAACGTGAACATCGAAAAGGACACAATTATCGACTCAATGAACTTCGCCTTCATTCGTCCGATGAGGATGACGATGACGAAGACGAAGATGAGTCACCTATAAAAAAGTTTAAACCAAATACACTTTTACAATGTGATTCTGCAACACAGACTCAATCTGATACAACATGACTCAAATTATTTGATTAATTATACGTTTATCTTTATAAAATTTAGCTTTGATTTAAAAATATATAAATTGCTTTTCGTCATTTTTGTTTCATTTTGTTTTAGTAGAATTATATTCTATCATATATTCTAGATTTTATCATCAAATTCAACAACTTCTACCATGATTTCATCTATTGATCAAGCAGATACTCTGGAATTATCATCAACAATATCGATGATAACACCTGCTGAAATTCGAGCTAATCTTGCTCAAATACGTTATCAACGATGTGTTTTAATCAAACATGACATGTTTCCTCGTTTGAGTGATGTTCAACTACTAATTCAACATAACTTAATGGATAAATTGATTAAAGTACTTGACGGGAATGATCCAGACAAAGTATGGGAAATACCTGAAAAGGTAAAAGAAAGTCTTTGCTTTCTTGAAAAAGTGGACAACGACCCTGATAGTGAAGATGACGATGACGACGATGATGAAGACGAAGAAGAAGAAGAAGAAGAGCAAGATAACAATAATTCGAATATGTCAACAACGAATGCTCAGCCAAATAATGCAACTAAAACAAATGATGTATTAACACAAACTGATCCTCTTCATTAATATGGTTTATTTGCTCCGTATGGTCTTGATCTAATAGAAGACATCTGATTATTTCATTTTAAAATAATAAATGCTTTTTTAAGTTCAAGAATTATTCATTCATCTTATTAATATGCTTGCTTTGTTGTTTTCTGAAAGTATTGGACTTGTTATACACATACCAGATTCAAATTATTGTTGTATAAAGTTTAAAAAATTGAAAAAATATTTGAAACAAGAGCAACTACATGTTTCAAAATGGAATTTGATCTAAAATATGAATAAAACGATGAATATTCACTTGTAATGATGAAATTATCCTTAATTATTAATACATTGGTACATCATTTCAAAACTTCTGTTATTGAACCAAATAGATGAGATGTAAAATTGTTTTATATTGTATTGTATACTTTGAAAACATTACATATCCTTATTTAGAACTATTTATTACAGATTACTTGTAAAATTAGCACTTGAATGACAAAAGGTGGTATTCAATGCTGTTGAACGTCTTAGTTATATTAGCATTTCTTGATAAAATGATTGATTTCGCATTAATAACCGTTTCTAATAAGCGCTAAAAATTGAATGTCTAGCTTACATATTCCTCATCAGAAATTGGCAACAATAATCATTACTTTTGTTCGTGTACCAAAAATTAAAAGATTTGAGGTATTTCCTTAACTTCAAAAATAGATATTTTATCGTTTTTCTGCATGTAACCTGATATACAAAATTAAAATCTATGTACTTTTATAAATTTTGAACTTAAGAAATGAAAAAAATACAGTCATAGGATGACTTTTGAAATTAATTGAAGATTTAAGATTACACTTACCAATTTATCATCACTATATTCGATGCTCACATGGCCATATAGGAGAAAAACGAAAAACAGAATTAACTCAACAACTGGCATTTAGTCAATTATGAGAAAGAATAAAAAATGATATTTTCACATTGCTTATATAATAGCTGTTTCTACTGAACTTTGGTCGGCCTTGGCATTCCTTCTTTGAGAACGAATAGTTTCATCTTTGATTGAATATCGGCACGTTGCAAGGACATAGTTTCGAAGCACCCTCTTGAAAAATTCTTTTCTCATTCTCATGCATCCTTACATGTAGATAAAATGAATACTTCATATATGCGTCTGTATAAAATACCAATTTTCAAGCATTTTATCATGTAAATCAGTGGGAAGAATGCTTTCCCACCTACATTCCTTCCCAGAAAAGGCCAAAGTTCATTTTCTTTCTACGACTATATAAACCAGCACCATTTTCATTACAATATTCATTTTTCATCTTATCCAAAAGTAAGTACTACACTTCTTCTTCTAAACACTTCATCAAACACTACCATTCGTTATATTCCAGTCTGAACCGGCTTCTTCAATCATTAAACAAATATTCTAATCAAACAGTGGTACAATCTCCAGACTACTCTAAATCCATACCAAGCCATCCATCATCACAGATACATTGAATCTCCATTGCAGGTTAAAAAACACTTCAACCTGCCCACCAAGTTCAATATACACAATTTCAAGGTAAGAAAGGATTTCCTAACAGACGACAATTAGACATCTACTAGGCTCAATAGGCACTTATAATACAGAGTACAACAGCTAAATTCAGCCCTTCATGAGTCTTATATATTTTCAATTATTTCAGATATATTTATTCATCATTAATATTATACTGTTATAGGAATGAACATCAATACTAATAACAATAGCTCAAATGATATGAATATTCCGTTTTATCAAGATCATTGTTTAAGTTTTACAAATCAACATCTTCAAACTATAGAACAAGAGTTAGAATGTGCTCGAGAACAAAATGAAAAGAAAAAGAAGAAGAAGAAATGTCATGGAAATCGTAAATTACAACGATATCGCCGAAAACTTCGTCAACGAGGTATTAATACTTCAATTGATACAGAATCATCAGTAGTACAAGAAAACATTCAACAAAACGAACGAACAATAATTGGCTCAACTACTGATGGAGAAACTTCTCTTTCTGTCAAATCAGTTCAGCATAAAATAACAAAAAAGAAGAAATGCAATACGAATAAACAATCCAGTTTTATCAATAAAAATAATATTCATCAAGTGGATCAATTCGAATTTGTAAGAAATGATTCTGTTGATTATACTATTATATCTAATGAGATATTATATCAAAGCACAGCTCCAGCTTTCAATCTTTCGCCAAAGTTTAATGGTTTGTTTAGTGCAGATGAAAAGATCCAAATTATTCGTCAATATATTAGTTTAATTGATCAAGTTTGTTTTCAACAACTCAAACAAATTCAATGGAAATATTATCTTCATCTTGGTTTGACACAAGGTATTTGGCATGGTCATATGTCTAAAACATCTGCTGAAAAGTATTCTATATGTCATACATACGGAAGATCGAAATCTGTGATTGAACAACGTATCAGAGTAATCGAAAAACATTTCAAACAAGCACAAGATGCCATTATACAGTTTGAACAAAAGATTTTATCAGAATGTGAACAAAATCAAGATTGTTTAAAGGTATTGAAAGAATTAAACACAATTATTTATCAATTAGTTCAAGAAAAGCAACAAATTGTAAAAGATAAATTCGAATATCAAAGAAAAATGTTACTTTTCAATGCAACTGACCATCAATTACTTCAAAATTTCTTCGATATTGAACCCAACAATAGACATGTGAGCATATCAACTATAATATTTAGTCCGATAAAATCATATTTCTCTCTCATTTCAATTTCTTACAGATCACATGGGCAAGGCATATATGGAAAGCAACAAAAGACCAACTGATAATAGAAGAAGATATTGCTTTGTTACAACATCGTCTTATATCTACAACATTAAAGTCAACATCTGATTTACTTCATAAAATCATAAATAATATTAACACAAATATTCAAAAATTCAATGATACCTTAACAAAATCAACAGCAACTTATACTTCATCAAACTGCATTGAAACACTGATAACTTTGAAGAAAGATATTATTCAAGAAGCTATCTTTATCCATCAGAAAGAACATGAACAAATCCAAACAATTATACATACAGAACAGAACAAATTTTTCGTTCAAAATAGATATATGGAATCAACATCTGAATATCAGAAACGTGTGAATGAAGCTATCGAAAAACGTCGACAACATATGCTCGTACGTGCAAACTATGCAAAACAATTCCTTTTATCAGCATCATTCAATCTAACACATCATCGATCATCAACGAACGATTCATAGAAATAACTTCAAAACTTAACATATATCTCAACTTTCTTCTAAAATACATCTTATTAAATTCAATCCGTTCAAAGCTCTTAGAAATTTTCTATATTAAATCCATATAAGCTTACGCCTTCTTAAGTTTATTCTACTTTTAGATATATGACTCAATTTCAAGAAAAAAATCAATTAAAAAGAATTATTACTCAGTAAAATACTGTCTAACAAACAACAGCGATACTGTTCCACAACACACAAATCTTCTAATTTTCAATCAAATGACGTCATGCAACAGCCACAACTTACAAGCTCTTCCCTTTCACAAAAAACCTATTCAATCGGCCATTTATTCAACATCAGCAATAAAGTTAGTAAAAACTGTTCCACAATTTCCTCATGGTTTCTATACCTTTTGATAACATATTATTATTTCCTTGCTTTGCAATGCAATAATGACACTAGATCCGAATTTAGAGTGATAAGCCATTTGATAAACCATTCCACTACGTACACAACCCTCCATGCCAATTTCTACCCTTCGAATTTTTCAAATCGATAAGTTTTGAATTTGCAATTTTCGAGCTATTTTAGCTTTGATTTTGTGAATTTTGATTTTTAACAGAGTAATTGTTCATTTGAAATGATTTTTAAGGATTGAATTTGATTTTTGTTGAATTTAATCCCTAGAAATTGTTTTTTATGAATAGATGCCATTTGATAAGTCTCTAACAAAGACGAAACTAGTCATGGCAGCTTGCACTCACCCTCACCCTCAACTGTCGGAAAAGCAATTAAAAAAAAGGACAAACATCTTTATTTCTTCGAGTAAGTATAATATTTGGTAGAAAGCATACATTCTAAAATAATCAGTCACAGCAATCAACGACATCCCAATCACAGCAATCACAATCGCATTCACAGCAACTATCACATCCACAACATGAGCAGCAATCATGATCACTTGTATCATGTGCATTATGATTGTCACGCACACAAAAACACCAGCAACAACAATCCTCTGGTAACCATTTTGTGCATCGTGAGTGACAACTAGAATTATCTTTTTGACGTTGACTTTCTTTGTTGTCTGTTGTTGCATTAGAAGATGGTGAACTAGACGTTTTGCGACGCTGCGTCCTGTTCCGATTATTTCTTTCTTGATCTTTTTTTATTGGATATGAATAACCATTTTTACCTGCACTAACCAAATTAGTAAAAATTGGTTGAAAATTAGAATCCACATTGTATTGTTTATTTCTGGTATTTGAATCGATAAAATATGGTGATGTATTATAAGAACTGTAAGGTTGTGTTGTGTAATATATACGTTGTTGTGCCATCAGGTTTCGTATTAAAGGTTCACTGAAACAGATTTTTATTCGTCTATTAATTTAATACAAAATCAATGCCACATCGGATTTTATATAAGTAATCGGCATACGTCTGTGTAAAATCCAATGACACTTTTAATGAAAAGAGAAAAAATGCAAAACAGCAGAAAGTCATACGTCTGGCTACTCTTGAGTTTTATCGATTTAATTTTTATTTGAAAATGAATCAAGAAAAGTGTTGGAAAGAACCGAACGAAGAGGGATAAATCCATTGATGCATTTAAATGTTATTCTTTCAAAATGTTGAAGGGCTTCAAAGAAAATGATCGTAATATGGAAATTTGAACTAATGCATTTTACAAAATGAAACTCAAGGACATAATAAAGAAAAAAAGGTAATCATTCTTTTATCAGATATAATTCAAGGATGAATTGATGAAGATTATTGATTTATTAGTTTGAAACTAACAGGAGTTTTTACTCAACCGATGCAAATTTCGATTTCCTGGAAAACCCTATAACACATCAAATCAATATGTTATTTCCATAGAAATCTGAGTCGCATTAATTACAGGATGAATGTTGAGAAAGACGTTTTTACACCTTATTTTCTCTATTTTTCCCGTCATCACCCGTCTGAGAAAAAAGCATTTCAACTTTTCAGCCTGTTTCTTTATCAAAGAGAAATTTTTAACGCTTCGGCTAGTTTGTTATTTAGCTAAAGGAGGAGAATCTGATAATAATCACTTACTACGAATCATTCATAGATGATTTCCAATAAAATCTGATTATTTTATTTGCTTGAAATCATATTTAAGGGATGTCAGGCGATTAACTTTCATTCAAAAACAAATATTTCTATATGAATCAGCTCTGATTTTGTGTAACACAGAAGAACAGGAAAAAACGAAAGTACACCTGCACATTATCGTTTTTTCAAGGTAACAAAAAGAATTCTTTTAGTAAGCAGTAAAAATAAGAGAAAGAATTTAATTTATTTTATCTTTGTATTATTTGAATTTCATGTTCAATTTGTTAGAATATTAATTATGGATCTCATGACTATGATAAAATCGTTATCTCAAACTTTGTTCGGCCTGTTCTTTGTTATTGACTGTCTATCCAATGGTCGTGTGAGTGTGACCATAATGTTTGGTAGTTTCTTCTCAAATTTTCTAAACTTTCCCTTTTTGATTGTAATTTCAAGTTTGACTACATTAGCTTGTCTATTTTGCACAACTTCTATGTCAATTCTCATATCAATAGGTATTTTAAGTGCACTGCGTAATATACTGGTTGATATCTGTGCTTTACTGTCTCCTTCTTTCGTTGAAATCCAGATTTCTGCTTCTCTTTGTCTGATACTTGTAGTTTCCATCCCACTAGGACTTGGCTTGGGTTTGATCATCTGTACTCTCTTAAAATTTGCCAAATCTGTTTATACACGTGTTATCATATTTTCATTCACTCTTTGTGTCATTACGTATATTTGGATGGGATTTTTCCATGACAAACAAATTATGCTGATTTCTCGAACTATACAACCTTATTTATATTCAGCTATATCCGCAATTTCTATAATTCGAATCTACAATATACTTTCAAAATTCGGCTGGAAATCACAATCTTTCGCTTTTTGCTTAGTTTTATTCATCGGTATTTTATATTCAGGCTTAAAGCGTCAACTTATTACAAAATTTTCCACATTTGAGCTTGTCGATTCATCTTTGTCAACAAGTTTGGTAACTGTAATTAATGATCGCAAACTAGACATAAGAATTATGCGTATAGATCATAGCATTGTTGGTGGTGTATTTAATCCAAGATTTGAATCAATATTCGAAACGTTTTACTGGTATGAAATGGCATGCCATATACCTTGAATGAAATCTAATTCAGAATTGAGTACAAGACATGCTTTAGTTGTTGGTTGTGGAGTAGGTATCGTTGTTGATGCACTGATAAATCGCTGCAAATTTGATCAAGTCATTGTTATAGACAATAATGCCGATGTGCTTCGTTTTGCCTCTAAATACTTCGGTTTAAGCAAGAATGCCTCGCTTATCACTGGAGATGGCCAAGAGTTTATTATGGCACAAGCCACTAATATATTTGAACTAATTGTGTATGATGTATTTAGTGGCTCATTTATGCGAGATAATTATGTTCAAGAGTTGGTATCTAACTGTTTTCGAATAATGGTATCTTAGTACTCAATGTGGTTTCGACAGTTGAGATGAAAGTTTTGCACCGTATTATCCAGCAACTTCAAAGTGTTTTCAAACAAGTAAAATGTTTTTTGTGAAGGTGGTATTGACTCAATTAACACTGGCGCACTTGTCAACTATATTTTCTTTGCTAGCAAAAGTGAGAAACCTCTACAATTTGAAATGTCTAATAATTATCATGAAGCTCTTCAGAGTGCATTTGAAAATTTTAACTCAAGCGAAATAGAACTTACTATTCTTAAGAATTATGAAACGATTCATCAACATAAAACTGAATGGTTTACAGAAAAAAACAAATTTGAATCTATGCGTAATATATTACCTATTAGTTTTTGGTTGTTATATTAAGAGTTTACATTTAAATTATCATAAAACCTAAGAACCAATAAATTCAATATTCTTGATTAAAAAAGTATTTGGTAATATTTTCATTAACAATATCCCAAAACTAATTAGAAGGAGCTTATTAGTCTCATTGATCATGTTCGATCCACCTTGTCCAAGTTCACCTTCGTTCGAATAAGTTTTGTCAACATACATATACTTAGTATATGGGCTAACATTTCACAAATTTTATTTTTTCTAAAGCAAAAATAAAAGTTGGCAGGTGAAGCATGAAGCGATCTTCTTCCGTTGAGGATTTTTCTCATCTTTTGAAAATTAATAGTTGGAGGTTATTTGACCTTTACGTAATGTCATTAGTTCCATTGAGATTAATTCTTACANTCAGATTGTATGAAATGGCTTCAGCATCTCATGCGTCATTATCAGCAACAGAAATCGTCAATAGTCGTATTCCATTAGGTGCAACAAAAGAACAATATCAAAAATGGATATTACAGAAACATCATTGTCTTCCAAATGATACTACTTTTCATCGTTTAGTTCAATCTGGCTTAGTCGATGAAATGGTTGCAGTTCTTGGAGAACGTGAACATCGAAAAGGATACAATTATCGACTCAATGAACTTCGCCTTCATTCTTCCGATGAGGATGACGATGACGAAGACGAAGATGAGTCACCTACAAAAAAGTTTAAACCAAATACACTTTTACAATGTGATTCTGCAACACAGGCTGTATCTGATACAACATGACTCAAATTATTTGATTAATTATACATTTATCTTTATAAAATTTAGTTTTGATTTAAAAATAAATTGCTTTTCGTCATTTTTATTTCATTTGGTTTCAATATAATGATATTCTATCATATATTCTAGATTTTATCATCAAATTCAACAACTTCTACTATGACTTCATCTATTGATCAAACAGGTGCTCTGGAATTATCATCAACAATATCGATGATAACACCTGCTGAAATTCAAGCTAATCTTGCTCAAATACGTTATCAACGATGTGTTTTAATCAAACATGACATGTTTCCTCGTTTGAGTGATGTTCAACTACTGATTCAACATAACTTAATGGATAAATTGATTAAAGTACTTGAAGAGAATGACCAAGACAAAGTATGGGAAATACCTGAAAAGGTAAAAGAAAGTCTTTGCTTTCTTGAAAAAGTGGACAACGATCCTGATAGTGAAGATGACGACGACGACGACGATGATGAAGACGACGAAGAAGAAGAAGATAACAATAATTCGAATATATCAACAACAAATGTTCAGCCAAATAATGCAACTAAAACAAATGATGTATCAACACAAAGTGGCTCTCTTCAATAATACAGCTTATTTGTTTCATATGGTCTTGTTCTAATAGAAGACATCTGATTATTTGATTTTAAAGTAATAAATTCTTTTTTAAGTTCAAGAATTATTCATTCTTCTTATCAATATACTCGCTTTGTTGTTTTCTGAAAGTATTAGACTTGTTATACACATACCAGATTCAAATTATTGTTGTATAAAGTTTAAAAAATTGAAAATATATTTGAAACAAGAGCAACTACATGTTTCAAAATGAAATTCGATCTAGAATATGAATAAAAAGATGAATATCCACTTGTAATGATGAAATTATCCTTAATTATTATTACATTGACACATAAATTCAAAACTTCCGTTATTGAACCAAATAGATGACATGTAAAATTGTTTTATGCTGAATTCTATACTTTGAAAACATTACATATCCTTATTTACAGCTATTTATTACAGATTACTTGTAAAATTAGCATTAGAATGACAAAAGATGGAATCCCATGTCATTGAACGTCTTAATGGTACTTATTAGCATTTTGTTGATAAAATGACTGATTTCGCATCAATAACCGTTTCTAATAAGCGCTAAAAAGTGAATCTCTAGCTTACATATTCCTCATCAGAAATTGGCAACAGCAATCATTATTTTTGTTCGCATACCAAACAGGTACAAGATTTAAAGTATTTCCTTAACTTTAAAACTGGATATTTTATCGTTTTTCTGCTAGTAACCTGGTATACAAATTAAAATCTATGTACCTTTATAAATTTGAACTTAAGAAAATGAAAAGAATACAGTCATAGGATGACTTTTGAAATTAATTGAAGATTTAAGATTCACTTACCAGTTTATCATCACTATATTCGATGCTTGCACGGCCATATAGGAGACAAATGAAACACGAAAATAACTCAACTGGCATATAGTCAACTATGAAAAAGAATGAAGAATGATTACTTTTTTCTCATGACTTATATAATAGGTGTTTCTACTGAACTTTGGTCAGCCTTGGCATATCTCCTTTGAGAACGAATAGTTTCATCTCTGATTGAATAACGGCACGTTGCAAGGACATAGTTTCGAAGCACCCCCTTGGAAAATTCTTTTCTCATTCTCATGCATCCTTACATGTAGATAAAATGAATAATTCATATATGCATCGGTCTAAAATACCAATTTTCAAGCATTCTCTCATGTAAATCAGTGGGAAGAATGCTTTCCCACCTACATTCCTTCCCAGAAACGGCCAAAGTTCATTTTCTTTCAACGACTATATAAACCCGCACCATTTTCCTTACGATATACATTTTTCATCTTATTCAAAAGTAAGTACTATACTTCTTCTTCTAAACTACACTATAACACTATTTCAAATTATCTACACGCCCAAAACAGCAAATTCGGATAGAAATCAATTATGTTAACTTATACAAAAATACAATCTGAAGAAATTTCACATCCATTACGACTCAATGTAGTATCCTCAATTCATCCCAACCGATTTCCATCCGAAAAGCCACCAAATTGAATACACATCAGTCTTCACTAACAGCCAAAACCAAAGGCAATTCAAAATCAATTTTAACCATATCACTTCATAACTAAGGAGAAAATTATTACGAGCATCCAGATTCATATATTCTGATTTCAACCTAACCAACAATCACGAAATCCACAAATATCAGGTAAGCCTGAAAAACATTCAGTACCCGCAAACTTAAGTACATATTGCAAATTTCGCTCTTTGCATTTGAATTTTGCCAGCATCATTTGATTCTCTTATGACTTGGCATCAAATGCACTTTTTAACTTTAAAACTTCTTGTTTTGAGTTAAATTGTACGAAATCACAAGCCATCTGATGAGTCTTTGTGAGCGAAAGACGAAACGCGTCATGGCAGCTCATCTCACACTGCTACAATTGAAATCATCATTGTAATTTGAATGCAAACTGCTTTTTTAGCTTTTTGTATTTGAATTTCAACAGAATGATTTGATTTTGTTATGATTTTGCTTCAAATAGACTTTTCAGCTTTGAAAATGTTTATTTTGAGTTAAATTGTACGAAATCACAAGCCATCTGATGAGTCTTTGTGAGCGAAAGACGAAACGCGTCATGGCAGCTCATCTCACACTGCTACAATTGAAATCATCATTGTAATTTGAATNAGTAGAGCATCCTCCTTTTCTACATACTAAATACCAGTCGTACAGTCCTAGTCATTTCCAACAAGCGAAACCTCTGAAATATTTGTGACCTACCTCAAACAATGAATTACCTCCAGTCATCCAAATCATTCTTAAAATTCTAACTACTCATAAAACAACATAATCAAGTCCGTATAAAAGCTTACAAAGCTACCTTATGAACGACCCTTGACAAAGGTCGAAACTATAGTCGTAGCTATGTCTCTCTATAACTCATACCCTCAATAGAAAGTAGCATGACAAACGCAGAACAGAATAATAAGACACTCTTCTCTGAGATGCTTATGATAATCTATCAGTTCCGGCTGAGCAACGTACTCTCATCTTGATGTGACAGAGCAATAAACTCGAATCTCATTATTGTATATCAGTTTAGCTTTGATAAACCCTCAATTTCATGAACGGCTTGAACGCTAAACCTTTGAAGGGCTGGTAACATATATATGTGCTCTTGCGCGACTTATTGACACATTTCTGCAGGGCAAGGGGTTGATAATTATGCGAATTTCTCCGGTTTCTGTCTTCACCTCGAACACACAGACGTATTCGGCTTGATTCTCTCCTTTCCATATGGAGGATTACGAGGAGAGATCACAAATGGAGATCGACGGTTCTCCATTTGCAGAATCAACGCAAAGTATCCAGCATAGAATTTATGGCTATATGAAAGCGTCAGTAAAGGTGCACCGGATACTAGAACGCACGAAAAGCTGGAGCAATTATCAACCGTTGCTGCGGTCAAAGAAACTCGAGGCGTGTGTGTTGTGCTCGAATGTGAAATAAATTTCATATGTTACAACTTGGAGAAAGCCAGGTTAAGTGATTTGAGTTTGCGACTTAAAATAAGTAAACAAGAGGACGTTGGAAGAAAACGTACATATTTTCGAATTGAATTTTATTTTTTAGATTTCAGTTTATTAGAAAGAAAATAATTCACTTGATTTAGAAAAATAAATTCATATATTTTCATAGTAAACTACGCTCGTTCTACTTGTTTTGTCCTCTGACTTGCACAACTTGAACTGGTGCATCTCCAGCAATTCTTGTCGTAACTGGTCTTCTTGTGACGAAGTTAATCAGTTGATGACGAAATTCACTGAATGTCATAAAATAAATAGGAAAACTCAGAACAGGACATGTGTATAGAAGTAAATTAAATGCATCAATAATATACCGGCCCCAATACGTTTTGGAAAGAGTCGGATAGAGAAAGCCATAGTTAAGCGAAGCTGGTGTTCGTGTCATCACGAATGTAAAACCAGAAATGATAAGAGTGATTGTAATTGGTTGATGGCGAATCTTAGAATTTGTTATGGTTGTTGTTCGTCGTAGTTTATGCAAATGATGAATTGAGAGAAAATTGAATGATAAAATCAATCCTGATGGAATAAGATCATAAATCCACAAATGTACGGTCTGGAATGTGGAAATCATGGGGCGCAGTGGCGAGTCGGCAACGATATATCCACCGACACTTCTGTAACAAATCAATATTAAGACAGGAAAATTCGAAAGAAAAAAGATTGTTATGATGCAAGTAATAATAATCGCGACAACTTTCCATCGATGGAACCATGTGTTTGGCTGTATTCGACTCATAAATAAATATCGATCAAAAGAAACGAGAACATACAACCATGCTGAAGTTTGAAGTGTCCAAAAATTAAAAAAGAAGGAAAACTTACATGATGCCACTGAATACGAATAAGTTAATGAAAATCCATGAATAGCACTTAGATAACCATCGACATTCCATCCGTATACTCCAAGAAAATCGATCACTGCTATTGTACGCATATAGTGGATCGTGGGTCGGCCTTGAGCGTTTTCGGAATGTTGATCGACATAAGACAAAGAGTGTTAAAAGATTGAGTGTTGTACCTAATATGACCGTTGACAAGCAATAGTAACCGTAGAAAGCGATGTAAGTTGAGACTGACTTAGCTGCATATGCGATTGCAGTGGCATTACTTGTATTCATGTTTCTGTTCGAAGAAAATGCCAGATTAGTGAAATGAGTCCGGCAACTCTATTTGATGTATTCTGCAACTTTTTATTTCAAATGTAAAAATAATTTATGCGGGACGCAATAGTCATCGCTACCTTAGATAAATTGAATGCCGCTTTTGAGCGAAGTCATACTCTTGAAACTATATAACCGAAATGGGATTAGAAACAGGCACAATATTCACATCAAATGGATGTTGCTAATACTCATCAAAGCTAGTTTTTCGATGAAAATTATTTTAGTTTGATGAATACGAAGAGATTAAATTGATGTCGTCAAAGCTACACTCTGTAGATATACATACGCTTCATTATGTTGCTAAAATATATCTAACCTGTGCGTCTCGAGTCTATATCATACGTGAGCTGTATCTCCAATATCAATGATTATCAAAGATCTGCATGCGACCGAGTCCATTATGCTGAAAGGTCTAACTGGATTAGCAATTGATGATGGAAATCAAAGTATCATAAGAATTCGATTGAAAACTATGTCTTGGTTGTCGCATCTTTATTGAGATTTCAAAAAATTGTCAAAACTGCGATTGAAATCTTTAGGGTGAGGGTGTGGACGAGTAATGGCTGCCATGACTAGTTTCGAACTTGTTAAAATCCCCATCAGATGGCTTTTTACTATAAGAATTGTTATGTTCGATGCTCGAGAGTGAAGAAGCGTGTGTTCGATAAGTAGTTACAACATAACTGACTTTACTTTTATTTCACCAAGTTATATAGAAACAACACACAAAGGAAAGAAAGAGATAACCACGGCCACGAAAGATCTGTGGACGTGCCATCAAATGGCGGGATGTAACAAGAATTGATTTTAAATGAATTTACATTGAAATAAATTCACAAAAAAGCAACTCTGATATAAATACTCTGTTATTTCGTTTTATTCAAAGATTTTCAAGCAAATTGATTAAAAGATAACTGAGAAGTTGAAATAATGATATTTTATCATTGCCAATCCCATGTGAAGAAAATCGCCACGATTTTTGCGATTTTCTAAAATATCGGCGTAAAATCACCATTAATCGTATTTTCGAGAAAAACAGCGATTAAATGATGTTTAATCATGATTTCGTTAGAGGATATGATTTCATCAAAATCGCTGATAAATCGGAGCGATTAATTGCAATTATTTGCGATTTTTTTGTCATTTTGGGTAGTTTTTCACTTTTATTAGTAAAAAAATTGACGAATAAATAAATATAAAGCACGTTTTGAATAATTTAATTTGTATTTTAGAATATTTTATCGCGAAAAATCCTAATCAGATTTAGTGTCAGTAGTATAGCTTCGATATGATTGGATAATTATATAGATGACGACGTCTCGTTTGTTCTTTGTCGTCATTAGCTAATTAAACATCTACTTCTTGTAAACGTTTTGTATGATCGTCTTTTATTATTCTTTCGTCATCATGCAATGCAAATGCTATCACGATTTCCATGTCTTTACGTCATGCTGTTCGTCATTGTTGGTCAAGCTGCATTTCTCGCTGTTATCGACGTTTTTGGCTGTGGATTTGTAATCTATGAATGCTTTTTGCTCTGTGCCTTTTCAGATGTTGAATTCTCAGTCACCGTACGCTGGCCGTGCTTGTAAGAGACAAGAAAAACGTCGACAACAAAAGAAAGCCCTATTAGATATTCTGAATAATATTGATTCAGATACTACGTCATCGGAAGATGAATCAATTCTCGATACTCAAAATGAAAGTTCAGCTCATGATCAGCAAAGTAATCAATGCAGGTCTGGCGATGTTACAGCCGCTTCTTATCCAAATATCAATTTACCTACATACAAGCCGGATGACGATGATGACACTTACTGGAATGAGAAATTAACAGATTGGACTTTCGATCCAACTTCATCGTTGTATGAAAATTCTCGCGTATCAGTCAGAGCGGCTGCTGTGTCAGTTATGTCGATTGCAATTGAATGCAATTTCCCAAAATCTGTCGTTGAGCGATTATTGAAGATTTTAAAATCACTTTTACCGGTGCCGAATTCGCTGCCAACTACGCACGCTTCTCTTGTAAAAGCAATAGGCGTTGCATCCACATCATCGTCCAGGTATTACTGTAATAGTTGTGATGAATTATGTATTGCACGCTCACAATACAAGTTTTGTGAGAACCATAAATGTCAAGTCTACGGCCGGCCTCTCAGAAATCGTGATATTAGTGAAATTGTCATTTTAGATATCAAAGACCAATTAAAATCAATTTTACGTCGAAACATGTCTTTATTTTCGAATGCGGAATTATTCCCATCCTTTGATATCACTTCGGGTAAATGTTACAAAGAACACGTCACGTCTGCAAATGAATTATCCAAAGTTTACAACGAAAAACTTCACCTAGTGACCTTAAATATTCATACGGACGGTGCTCCATTGATACGTACAACAAAATCTTCTTTATGGCCGTGTCTAGCATCGGTGGTAGAGTTGCCTCCACAAGTCAGAGAACAACAATCAAACATACTCCTTTCATGTCTGTGGAATTCTTCAGTCAAACCTAATGTGAATATCTTTATGCAAGATTGTATTCAACAATTACTGGATTTAGCTAATCCATTTACGTTGATTATAAATAATTCAGAGTTTGTTATTGTATTGAAAACTCAATTGTTCGTGTCGGATTTACCTGCGAAAGCTCTTGTTTGGAAAACGATCAATTTTAATGGATACAATTCGTGCACATATTGTCCTACTGAAGGTAAATAAGAACTTCATTAGATTTCGTTTCTTTATTCTCAATCGTTTTTCTCTATATCTTTTATGAAGGTGTTTACCAGCATCGACAAGTACTCTATCCATACAGAAAGAACAACTATCAACAACGTACTCATGATCAATTTTTAGCGATAGCTCGAGTAGTTGAGGAACGAGCCTCTCGAAGAAAAACTGGCGGTACAATTGATGGCATCAAAGGTCTGTCTCCATTACTTCAAGCTTTCGAATATCCGAAACAAATAGTATTTGATTACATGCATTTATGTTGCTTGGGACATATGTCCACCTTAATACAACGATGGAAAACAATGCTAAGCTCTGACGCGTTTATCGAAATTAATAAGAAAATATTTGCTCAAAAATTTCCTCATAATAGGAGTGTTAAGTTTAATTATCCATTGAACTCATCTGAAGAATGGAAGCCAAAGCATTTTCGAGTATTTGTGTTATCCATCGGTCTTCCATATATGTTATCATTATTTACCACCACTCGTTGCATCTCATTATGCTTTCTATTCTATGTTTGTTAAATTACTACACTCTCCGAAATCGAATCTTGAAATTGAACTGGCGGACAAAATTATTCATTATTATTGTCGAACAGCACCCGATGTATATGGAGAAACAATCGAACTGTTCTCACTTCAGGTTCATTTACACTTACCACAACAAGTTTTAACACATGGTGGACTCTCGTTTACATCTGCATTTTGCTTTAAAAGTATGATTCGATTTTTTAAGAAGAGAGCACATGGAACGCGAAATCTCGTTACTCAAATTGCTGATTGGATCAATACTGCAACTGCTGTTGGACAACCATCTATTGAACTATCAATTCCAACAGGTATTAACAGTGTTGGTATAAAAAGTTCNGTGTACGATGTACTCAATCTTCGAAGAGGAAAAAGTTCATTTAATTTCTCGTTAAGTTCTCTAGGTATAGAAAGATAATCGGACGTGTTTGTTTTTGTAGACTCGTATTTTCGGGTAAAAGCGTAGTAATCTTCATGATATTTAAAAAAAACAATAACTTGACCATATTCAGTGTGAGTACTTTTAGAGTTGTACGAGACAATATAACTGCAGCAATTATAAGGGGCGTCATATAAAACCGTATGATAAGTAACAAACACGTCTGATTATCTTTCTATACCTAGAGAACTTAACGAGAAATTAAATGAACTTTTTCCTCTTCGAAGATTGAGTACATCGTACACTTTCATACCTGTTGATGATATTTGTCACAAGTGTATTCAAGTCGAATGTCGCGAACATGTATTTTTATCGGAGATTCGTGTAGATTATGAACATGATTAGACTTTGTCTTTGTTTCAGCATTCGACACGGCAACATGAACTTTGAAAACTGTTTTTTTTTCGTTCTAGATGAGTTTGAATATACGTATATGCAAAAGCGTATACAACTGATTCACGAATACAGAAAATTGCAGACTTTGCAGTCATCAGCTATGTCGATGAGCCAAATAGTTATAGCCTTGTGTCAGTGAAAAGATTAATCGATGTTGATCAGTTTGGCAAAGGAACGATTCGTGAGAAGAATAAGACTTATCGTATTGTAGTTGAACGAACAGGTCAGCACTTATTATGATGTTTATGTCGTTTGATGTTTTACTTATCCTAAAGGTAGCAAGTGTGACATGGAACGATTTGCAAAAGATGCAGAGACAACATCTGCCTATACAATGAATGCCGAAGTCGTGTCAGACACTGAAGAATGGCAGAAACGAAAACAATCGTCAACAAAAAATATCCAGGAACAACAAATAAGTAAGCAACAACCCAGGATAGACTAAAGCCGACTATTCGCAGAATACTCGAAAGCATTCTATCGCGAAAGTCTTATCGTTGTTTGAGTCTAGTTCATTGATCTAACCGATCTTCCAGCTTAAAAATATTCTGTTTGCTCCAAGATTCTCAAGAGATACTCTTCTGTAATGACTTCACTCCTTGACTGTCTTCAGTTTCTTAAAACGATTGCATGACATCACGAAACAATTTATTACACATTTTTATTTTTAACTATTCAGGGAATGTTGATAAACAATTGGATGAACTACATTCTTTTGGTAAATTATCATCATCAGGTCCAAAGTCAGAAACTTTATTCATTTCGACTGATTATTTTAGACTTTGACGAGAATCCAACTTATACGACTCTCAATCCATGTTCATTCGATGAATTAGATGCAGCTGGCATAGGTAGATGAAAATCATGTACGTGCTCCTCTTATAATCTTTTCTATCGCTTGTCGTTGAAGGTGATCGTTCTCAAATCTTCTCTGATGAAGATGATGATACTGACGAAGAAGGATTTGACGGGCCACAAAATAAAGACACCAATAATCAAACTTCAACATCTAATTTTAATCCTAAGTTGACATCCTCATTTAAAAAACGTTCAAAGACAAAAGTAGTCCGAGAACCATCGACTAAACGAGTGCGAAGCAGTGATCTTTTATCTTCCACAACCGATCAAAAGAACGTACATGTTGATCACA